CACACACACACACACACACACATATAAATAATTATCACATTAAAACTTTAAAAAATTTAAAACAGTCTAAAAGTTTTATTTATAATATTAAGGCATTAAGATAATAAAACAATATGTATAATGATACATTAAACATTTTGTATTTGCTTTTCATATTAAATATAATTAATTTTTACCTCAGATATGGATGTCAAAAGAACCAGATTGTGATATACCTATACAAGTGATAATGTTGGCCTTGTATATAGAACTACAATTAGGTAACATTTTTACAATATTAAATCTATTTGAAACTTGAAGTAGTTGAAGTATAACTTACTTTGTTGAATAAATTTATATCTTTAGTTTGTGCAAAATCTTCTATTGTTTAAATTGATTACAAGACAAAAACTATTCTTGTCTGTACTTAATTATATTACATATAACTTATATGTTTCTTAGATATAAATTATTTTAATATGTCAATAAAAGTAGCATTATAGATACGTTTATTATCGAGTAATTGCGTAATTAGGAAATGTATTTTATATTTTTGAATTTCAGGTCATGCTGACATTTCAAAATCAATAATAAAACAGCATTGTCCACAATATCGTTAGCAATCAAGTATTATATCGACTTCGATCATACAAGTACATATGATGAATATTTAAATATTTTTATTTATAGATACAAAAATACTAAATCTTTTATATCTTTCCACGTGATTATATTTCTAAAAGCAATTATTATGGAAGAAAAGAACTTTTCCAATCACAGACAAGTATATTTCGAGATAGACATTTTAAAATCAATATAATTTTGTTTTAGGTGGAATCATGCTTTATATATAAGAAAGTTCTCTTATATTTTCAAAATTATTGACTTTTTTTTTATGCAAAGCGATTATTTTACAATTTTGTAATATACATGTAAAAGCATTTAAAAGATGTGAGTTTATTGTGAAAAGTAAATATTTTATGGAAATATTTATAATACTTAATATTAGAAGATGATAATAAAATAAGTATATTCCATAAAATAGTTAACTTTCAATGGTCACGCCGTTAATACTTTTATATGTAAAGTAACAGGAAGAATAATTCTTATTAATTAATAATGTATGTGAAAGATTATATTATTCCAGTTAAAAAAAAGTCCTTTTTGGGATAAATTAATGTACATAAATGTAATTACACATTATTAATATTATAAGAAAGTGATTTTATTAAATTATCAAATAATACTAACAATTACATGAATATTTAGATGCGAAATATATTCCAATATATGCGTAAATTTATGTGTCTAGTCTAGAGACAGTACATCAATCGTGGTCTACATTTGCAAAATGTTAGTGTGTTTCAAAATCAAGATAAAAAATGTTGCAATCGTTCTGTCCATCACTATGTGTATATATATATATATATA